GCTCTCTCTCTCTCTCTCTCTTTTGCGAGGCATTTTTATGAAACTCGTAAAACGTTTGATTTATTATTATAGCTGCAAATGCGCGCGGCTTCAAAGTGTTGGGCGAAAAATCATATCCAATGTAATAAATTCATGTACAAATCCACGAATAGGGATTACGTTGTAAAATCAAGTAACTCGATATTAAATCCATTTTGCCAAATCAAATATCTAAAAATCACACACAAAAATAATATTTTTCGAATAGAATGGAATATTGATCGCGCCGCCCCCGCAATTTACATCTACGTCATTTACAAGTACAAAACGACGAGTGGAGAGGAACGTAATAGAGCGTGAAGAGGAGCGATAAGTTATAAACAGCGAGAATATAAAGAGAATTAACAAAACGCTGCGCTAAAGTCAATACGCTCGCTCGCTCGCTCGATTCGATATATAAAGTATATTTTTATACCCGAAGAAACATACTTCTGAACGCGCGTAGTCGGAAGTAACATAAAGCTCATGGACTCGCGTCGAGCTGCAATCAGATTCTGTCTGGAGATTCGAGGATGACGTCCAAATCCCTCGGAGTGGAGTTTCGTAGCTCGACGTGGAAAGCCTTTCCAGTAAGTTGGGCAAAACTTTACGAGTTACGAAGCGGACATAAAAAATGTCAACCATCACATTACGATATATCTTCTGTTGTTCCCCTTCTCTCTCTCTCTCTCTTTTCCCTTTCGTTTATTTAACATGGTGGTTTTATTATTTCAAGATAATAACCCGGTTTTCACAGCTCGTCTGACAAGCTGTGAGAGTTAAATTAAATTAACTTATCGCTCCATTTTATGCTTCAACGTAATTATCTCACCTAGGTCGGGGATTTGTACATTGAATTATAAATAAAAAAATAGAAAAAAAATTAAAGAGGCGTGATTGCGCATTTATTAATTCTAATCGTTCCGTTTTATATATGATATAGATAGAATGATGGCTTAAAAAGATCGCAGGAATTATTACAGGGAGGCTAGAGATTCGAGAGGCGGTGTGATTCTGTCCAACTGTCAATTCGATCTGAAGCTTTTGCATCGTGAAAATTGACGTCTCGATTTTTGCGGCCACGACAGCATTTAGTATTTCGCGGACGAAACGTGAAAATAGTGACAAGTCGCAATTCGCGAACGGAGTCAAACGGAAAAATATCGGTGACGGAAGGGCGAGATGTTCCTCCATCGTCTATATCTCCCAGAGACAAATATATTGCTTTATTATCGATTGCGATCTATATTTTCTCACGTATATATATATATATGTATCCTCCTGGCAATCCTGTTAGCACGATACACATCGTCCGTATCATTGACGTCATACTATCGGACGGCCGGATGTCATCGTGACTCGCGTTGTAGACCGTTGAATGCCGCAGAAAGATTAATAGGCTGCCGTAAAGTTGAAACTTCATCGACACATTCCTGAATATTTACGCTCTGTGTGCGCATTTTTATAGCCGCTCGAAACTTCATCCCGCAAAGGGCGCTTCGTGCTATTTCACGAGTCTATTACGATTCCTTTCTTTTTATCTCTCCCCCTTTCTATTCATCTGCTCTACATACCGTGTCCTCTTCCACTCTATTATCCGCATCAAGCGCGCGAAATCGATGAAATACTCCAGCTATTGTCACGAATATTGACTTTACTTCGCTTACGTTGGAAAGTAACTTTCGCAGATCCCAGTGTTTAACTTCGAGTAACTGCTAATCGCTTTCGAACCAGAGTTCGAGAATACAACAAAGGAAACCAATTTCCTTATTCGCGGTGAATATACCAAACTGTGCGTTACTCTGTGATAATTTCGCAATAGTTAATTATTATCGATCGAACAGACATTTCATTAATAAAATAAAGCGGCGATAAATTTCAAGAAAAATTAGTTCATCTACTTTACAGTTTACAACGTAATACTACACGGTAAAAAACATTTCGTATTTCTGTTGAAATTATCTTGTGTAGAAATTTTTGTGTTAAAATTTTAACATACTCTTATGTTAATATAACATATTGTCGTTATGTTATTTTGACATTTGTCTGTTGAGTTAATATTCACTATTTTTAAGTGTTAAAACAACACATTTAAATGAAAATGTACGAATTTTTGCTTATATTATATTTTTTTGTGTTATTTTTTCACATATTACGTGCGTTATTTAATTACATAATTGTTTTCTGTTAAATTAACATTAAAATTAGAGTGGATAAATTGGGACATGTGAAATGTGTTAAATTTAACACAATTTTTTTACTGTGTATTATCATATAACTTCTCGCGCCAATATATTTGCGCCATTGAAAGAGTCATTATGAGACACTAGAATTATTTGAAAAAAAATTGAACGAAAAAAAAAGGGAAAAAATCTCTTGGTTTTTCCAATAGCTTGAACATTATAAATTTTTTGTGTGTATCTTATAGTTTGCTGCCTAGTATGTTTCTGATATTCCGTTTCAATGCGTCGCTCTGTGATAATTTCGCGATAGTTAATTATCGATCGAAGAATAGACATTTCATTAATAAAATTAAGCGGCGATAAATTTAAATAAAAATTAATTCATCTACTTTACAATTTACAACGTAATACTATTATCATATAACTTCTCGCGCCAATATCTTTGCGCCATTAAAAGACTCATTATAAGACACTTGAATGATTTGAAAAAAAAATTGAACGCAAAATCTCTCAGTTTTTCCAATAGCTTGAACATTATAAATTTTTTTATGTATCTTATAAGTTTGCTGCTTAGGATGTATTTCTGATATATCCGGTTTAATGTTAATTTAAATAAAAATTAATTCTTATGTATATGAATTAATTTTACAACGTAATACTATTATCATATATAATTTCTCTTAAAAGAGTCATTACGAGACACTTGAATGATTTGGAAAAAATCGAACGCAAAAAGAGAAAATCTCTCAGTTTTCCAATAGCTTGAACATTATAAATTTTTTTATGTATCTTATAAGGATGCTGAGCTCAACGTAATACTATTATCATATATTTAAAAGAGTAAATTCAGAAATAGCTTGAAATTATAAATTTTTTTATGTATCTTATAAGTTTGCTGCTTAGGATGTATTTCTGATATATCCGGTTTAATGTTGAATTTAAATGAAAATTAATTCTTATGTATATGAATTAATTTTACAACGTAATACTATTATCATATATAATTTCTCTTAAAAGAGTCATTACGAGACACTTGAATGATTTGGAAAAAATCGAACGCAAAAAGAGGGGAAAGAAATGTCAAGTTTTCCAATAGCTTGAACATTATAAATTTTTTTATGTATCTTATAAGTTTGCTACTTAGGATGTATTTCTGATATATCCGGTTTAATGTTGAATTTAAATGAAAATTAATTCTTATGTATATGAATTAATTTACAACGTAATACTATTATCATATATTTCTCTTAAAAGAGTCATTACGAGACACTTGAATGATTGGAAAAAATCGAACGCAAAAAGAGAGGAAAGAAATGTCAGAGTTTTCCCAATAGCTCGAATATTATAAATTTTGCCCGGTGTATTTCTGATATATCCGTTTGAATGATAATCGCGCGCAGGTGGTTAATGACCGTTTCATTGCGGCGTATCGTGTTCGCATTTTACTTGCCCGTCTGTCATTCTTCCGTCCGACGCGAGACGCGACGCGACGCGACACGACGACGGACGGCCACTTTACGCTCATACCCTGGCTGCAGACAGGCTCCGTGCAACCATACCGTGTACAATGGCATACCGGGCGGAATCTCTCGCGGAATATCTCGTCGGCCGCACTTAACGGGGCGGCATCAGAGCGGATGGGAGAGGTAAAATTTCCCCCGCGGGTGTAATCTGGCTGCGAAGTCGGGGCCGGTTGCTTGGTTGGTCGGTCTCGAGGTTCGCAAAGGCGTGGTGGAGAGGCGTCAGGAGTCAGCCGAGCGATAATAGTGGGTTGAAGAGGATTGAGAAGGAAGATCTCGCTCCCTCTCTCTCTTTTCTGGAGACGAGAGAGATAGAAGGAGAAAGAGTTTCTTCGCCGATCTCTCTCGGCGAGACGAAGAAAAGAAAATACCTAAAGCAAAGGGAAGCGCAAGCTTTAACGAGAGAGATCGATGAAGCTACTGTTCGCTTCCCCGTTCGAACGTTGTTCACTCCGGAACTATCTAACCCTCCCGCGCGATTCTCCTACCGACCATCATCCCCGGTTTGTCGGTCTTCTTCTCGCATAGATCCCTCGGAACAACTCTTCCGCCACTGCGCATCTGCGATGCCGGTGCAGTTGAGTCCATGTTAACATCAATTTAATGATAGCTCGTTAAGAGAATGTGCGGACCTTTAGCGATTAAATAAACTGACGTAATGCACCATCATGGCCGGTTCTTTTTCACTGCAAACGCGGGGGGAACGTGAAGTGATAAATCGTAAGCTCGCGAAAAAAATTTCTTTTCCTGTTATTCTGTTACTCACCAAGCTACTGTGTAATATATAGTTTTATTCATGGACGCAATGTATATTGAAAATATCAGAGATGCTCTGTAATTCTCAACGATTACTTTTTTCAAAATATCCCAGATATAGCAACAAATTACAATGCACCCACATAACATCTTTACGATGTTTTTAAGATGTCTCTTAAAGATTTCTCAATGATGTCTTATTGGTGCATTTTGGATATGGTGCTATCTGGGATTTGTCAATTTTATTGTTTTTGAATTGCAAAAAATTGCGAATCAGGTACTTGGCTATATAAATTAAGGAGAAATATTTAAATCGATAGTTTACGATCTACAATATATCTCTCTATTTTATCATCTTTAGAATAGAGCATATCCATATATAAAAATTAAAAAATATGAAACTATCGTCGTCATTCTTTGATAATACTGTACTTTATAAAGATATGTGTGGGGTAAGTGATGTAATAAACTAAAGCTTAATGTCCAGTAACATTCTTTTTTTTTTCTTTTTTCAGGTAAGTGAACGATCTTTTTCCTCGACGGGGGTACTTTCCCCTAAGGAGCTGTTTCGACCTAATTTCATCGTAATGCGAGCGTAACGTGTTTGCGGACTATTGCATGTTGCTACATAACAAGTAAGTATTACAAGTTTAATCGACATCTTTATATCAAAACTTTAAGAGTACTTGTAGTCACAAGTTTGCGTGCTGTTTTCAACATATTTTAATTTAATGTAACGTGAGTATAAAGGAGAATAGATTGGGTATCGTATAGCGGTACAATATTTTTGCTCAGGTAATCTTATATGCGTGTCAGGATAACGCTCATTCGCGTGGATGTGACAATTCGTGTTTATAGTTGAATATTTTATATCTACTCGTTTCATTGTTTTATCTACTCGTTCATGCGCTCGTAATTCCGCGTTATTTTTCACACATATATGATTACCACGCAAAGCATCTCAATACGCTTAAATGAATGACGTACACAAATATAATAGAAATACAGGATATTAATTAATCCATCAAAAAAAAAAAAAAGAAAAAATAATACAATATCTTCTTTACTTACTGAGAGCATTTACTAGTTTTTAATTTTATGATCCGGTATTAACACGGTATTAATACACATAAAATTCGCATTGATAATTAATTTTTGTAATTTGAGATTTCCTTTCCTGCAAAATTTCAAGGTGTATAGAATTATTTCGAGAAGAAATTTTGCCAAGATCACACAAAAGATTAACGTGGAACTCTCTCGTTGCAGCTGGGTTCAAGTGCAGCTTATTAAATACGGCAATTTTGAAGTTCTCTTTTGCTTACTTCGTCAGTGACGAATTAATATGGTTTAAAACTTCCTTAAAGTCGCGCACCATCCTTTGTTTCGTAGGCGTCCGCATAATAGAATTCCATTTAAGCAGCCTCAGCGCGTGGGAAGTTTTAATCTTCATAATCTTAATCTTTATATAACTTTAATCTTTTATTTATCCTTGTTTTTATGATATATATGCGAATTTATTTATTTTTTTTTTTTTCATAAATCCTAAATTCGAGAAGTTAGCGATCAATATAGAGACGTTGTGTATATATAGTTCTTTTTTATTCTCGCAATAAACTTCTCATTTTATCGTCAAACTATTGCCGAACGTAAATTCACGCAACGCATGAATTGCAATTGCGTGAAATTCCGTTTGTTTTTCCGTTTACAAGTGCAGTTACGATCGCGAGAACGAATGGCACACAGAAACGATGTTACAGCTCTCTCGTTTCCGATACTTCAGTCCGCGAATAAATTTTGTAAATTTCTGTAAACATAATTTCGCTACTTTGCATGGCAAAAGTATTGTTGTAACAAACAACATTTCAAAACAGATAGTTAAAATTGCTAAAAATTGAAAATAATGAAAGGACGCGCACGATACGTCATTAGCTTTTTTCGGAGCGCATTAGATTCGTTATTTCGCGCTTTGTAATACAATATTGTAAAAATGATTATCCTAAATGATTAATCGTATTCGTTGAAATATCTACGTAGATATATATATATGTCGTACGCAAACGTGAATCGCATACATGCACATGCTCGCAGCGGTAATAGATGCAATGCGCATAATATCGTTTGCATCGTGTATTACGCGGAAACCTTCCTTTGTATGCAACATTTACGAGAGCCGGATATGGAGCTCGCGAATGCGACTAGCACAATAACGTAATTTTCCGAGTAATACCTCTCGCGCGCTAAGTTTTCACTCGTAATGACAGAGAGCGATCGTTTCGAAAAGCGGTGTTTCTTTTCGACGAGTCTCGCGATTTCAGAGCATAACTTTCCACGCGCAGCAGTTTATATCAAAGTAAAATTATGCATGGTTGACGCACGTCGGTTAGGTTTGTCGGACGGGTGCACGTGTCGTTTAATTATGCTTAAATATATTTAGCCTGCTCAAACTCGTGCCGAGTAACTATCGCGGAGAGTTGAAACATTAACAACTTAAATCAATCAACGGTATACGCCGAGATGTTTTCCCATCTATCGAATTTTTACCACATAGCCGGAAGCAATTTATTTAAACGTCGTATCGTTTACCTCCGCTATGATCCTCAATAAAACTTTGGAACGCGAAACTCATCCAACAAGCGAAACAATTCCGCCCATATATTTCCGTTATGAGAATTTCCGCATTTTTATGTAGATTTTTTTATATAAAGAACTTTCGGAGAGGGAACTTTACTCTTTTCAATGGAAACACGCTATCGGGTTAATGGATCGTAATATATTACGTTTAATTAATTGTCTTTCGAGAGAAATTTCGTTTGGTACATTCAATTAAATGCCTGCTTTCCGAAAGTGATAGCCAGTAGATTTATGTCGAGTGTGTTGGCCGGTTTGTAAGAGGAGACTTAACGTAACTTCACAGGACTGGTTTCGAACTAGTCTCGTCTGTAGTTACTGCTTTCTGGCGTGGACGTTCCAAGAATAATTAGTAGCTATAACAACGGGCGCGCTGAAAACTAAGTTCAAGAACAGAAACCGCCCTGAATTGACCTCAAAGTAACGAACAGTGGTTCTGGCAATGTATCGCCTCGTATTTGACTCACCTCTGTCTGTGGGTGTTTCCTGTATTCCGCGTCAAACTGTCATCATTCTTTCATTTTATTTCGCAAGACGATTAATATGCCACGTAATTCCTTAACTTTATACCAAATCCAACATTTTTGGTGTCAAACTAATTTTCACAATAATTTGTCATTATTTCTTAAAAGAATATACATATATCTACAATGAAATCATAATTTTAATCATTTATAACATTAATTGTTATAATTGCAACTGCATCATAATACATAATTATTTATTACGTATAATATTAATATTAATTGAGATGCATTACGTAGTAATATAATTCATTATAATATTAATATTATAATTAAAATTGTCGAGTAACTTTAGACGAATGCATTGTTACAATCGTGCACATTGAAATTTGAAATTTGAAGTTAACGTAGGTGTTGCTTGGAAGAACAAATTTTAACACGACAAATTGTGTTCATAATCGGTCCTTGTTTCCACGGAAATCTTTTTAACGATATCCTCTCTTGTCCGCGCTCGTTTCACTATTCATACGGGATCTTTATTCAAATCGTTTTCGCGAGCCCTTGCGAGCCCTCCGACTATACGACGTAGGATTTGCATTATGTTTGGCTGATGGCTGCGCAAAGCCAATCAACGTGCAAATGCGGCGAAGCTCCCATCGTTTTTAGCGAGCTTCAACGCGCAAATCACCGGGATACGGAAGGAGGCGCCTGATATTTATTTATATGCGCGCTCCGAGCAATTTTAGATTTTATTTACGCGTCATACATATTGCATGATTCCAATTGATTTTTCCCGCGATTAATGTGTCTTTTTAATATATATTTGAAAATATGTTTCAATGTGCACAATTACGTTAAGAATTATGGCACCGATAGTGCCTGCGTGCACTTATAGAATTTCTTTCAAAAATATTGTCATCGTATTTTGACCGTCGCTATTTATGAGGCTCTCTACTTGCGCTAAATATCGCGTATTTGTTTTAAATTAAAATCGATATCCATCACGTGGCGCGTGAGGCGGCGCGCTTAGCGATGGCGTCTAGGTTTATTGAAACTCTGGCTTTCGAGCAATTTCGCGGAGCTTTGCTTTAATCCTACAGGATATGCTTCGTCTACCTTTCTCTCTCTCTCTCTCTCTCTCTCTCTCTCTCTCGTCCTTATTATTCTTCCTTTCCTCTCCGTTGCGGCTAACGCGTTCGCGAAACTGCTTACATTTTTTACGTGTCGCTAAGCTTGTATAAATAAAATTAATTACAACTCACGGAATATTTTAATTTACGAGATTTCACGTAGGAATTTGTATATTCGCGTCCGAGCGAATATTTCTTGTGGAAATTTATTCGAAATGCGCGTAAGAAAAGCCTTAAGCGCGCCCTCAGGGCGGAAACCAATATAACCGTATAACTGCATACATCTCAGATAACCAAACTCCGGGGGTTCGGGCTCAGGAAAGTGCTCCTTCACATCCGGGCGAGGGAGAACGCGAAGCGAGAAGAGAATGGGTGAAGAATTCGCGGCGCGGATATAGGGGTACGTGTAAAGGCGAAATAAGAGCAGCACGATGATGCTTTCGACATCGAGGGAAGAAGAACGTATATCTAGAGGGAAAGGGTAGAAAGATTGCATCGCGGGGGATAGGCAGGAAAGTTAGCTTCGTGTGTAAACCGGCATGCGATTCCCGCCCTTAGACATTCCCGGCGAAAACTACGACGGCCGCGCGAGAGAAGAACCGTAAAACTTTATTGAAAGCACGCGCGCAACTCTTCGCTCTTTCTCTTTCTCCCTGGCGCGTCGAAGCTCGGCGAAGCCGATGTCGGAAGTGCCTCGGCCGCGGAATGCCGCCGCGGTTTCTGTCTTCGAACATTGCCCTCCCATCGCTTTTCCATCACTCCCGCGTACATGTCAGTTTATTGAAATACTGCGAGCTGCGGTCCAAAAACCCGAGAGCAAGTCCCGTCGAAACTCATTACACGCTATTCCTGTCTCGCTCTTTCTCTCTGTCATTTCGCGAAAAAGACCGTCACTCGCCGTCGTTCGTTCCTGCATGATTGATGCATTCTTACAATTCTCGAACGTACGTTCATTTTCCCTCAGCATTTCATCATCGAGAGTTACCGAGTTTTTTTTTTTTTCCCGGGAATTTCCTGAGATTTTTGGAAAAGTTATGAAACTACGTTAATTCTGCTTTTTGAAAGTTTGATAAATGGAAATGAATATATTTTCACATAAAAGGTTTACGTTTATAATTTCAATAGAATATTAATATTTTAGGATAATTAAATTCAAAGGTACGCGATGATAATTATGATACCCAAAGTTGTCAGAGTTTAATGTGAGCTTTAATTTATATAATATTCTCTCTTCCTATCTGCTCTCTCGAAATCTCTGCTTTTGACTTTGCAAAAACATATTTTTGGGATTAAAACTTTTTAATTCCTCAACAGTTTGCAAATAACTTTTCAATAATACTTTTCCTAACTTATAATATCGGGATAGATATTTTAGTACTGATAAAACATTTTTAAAGTTACAAACTCAAAATA